CTCACTTCAGCCTCCCAAAGGCGCAGGATTACAGGCTGAGCCACCAAGCCCGGCTCATTTCTTTCTTTAAAGTTAAAATTTAATTAAATATAGAGAAATAAGAACACTTCCATCACACAGTATTATGAACTGATGTATTAGAACACAAAGTTTGGATAATAGTGCTAGAGGTATCATGGGTTATCCAGGTGTCCCCTTGTTCCATTATGTCACTGTGGTGGTAGCTGGTTATTAGAAGGCTACAGAGGGACTTCATTTAAAGGGTCCATTCAGCCGGGCTCGGTGGCTCAGCCTGTAATCCCGCGCCTTTGGGAGGCTGAGGTGAGTGGATTGCCTGAGTCCGCGGGTTCAGGACCCACCTGGGCAGCGAGACCTCATCTCTACAATAAATCAAAAAATCAGCCGGGCATGGTAGCGCATGCCTGTATTTCCGGCTACTTGGAAGGCTGAGGCGGAAGGATCCCCGGAGCCCAGCAGGTGAAGGCTGCGGTGGCCAGAAGTGGCCACTGCACTCCAGTCTGGGCGACAGAGTGAGACTCCAACTCAAAAAAGAAAGAAAGAAAGAAAGAAAGGGCCAATTCATAATCTAAAGTGTAAAAATGGTAACTGCCTAAATTTAGTACAATGCAACCCTTTAGGAAATAAAATGAATGGAAATTACATGGAATTATTGAAATCAATGCTGTCCCCTTCAATCTTGTTTTAACATACCATGGTTAAAACCAGGAAGCTTCTCTCTCTGCAAAAGGCTATAGAATGTATGATCCTCAATCTCAAAAGTAAAACGGCCTCCTCTCTCCTACCACCGTTGCCCGCCTCCAACAAAATAAAGAAATAAATATGGATGAGGTGTAACTTGAAAGTCAAAGCCATCTTAAAAACCAAGACCAATCTGTCATCATTAATATTATAAGCAAGAGAGGTCCTTCAGTATGCATGGGGAATTGGTTCCAAGACCTCCCACAGATACCGAAATCTGCAGATGCTCAAGTCCCTATAAAATGGCATGGTATTTGTATATAACCTATGTATATCCTCCCATATACTTTAAATTATCTCTAGATTACTAATAATACATAATACAACGTAAAATAGTTGTTATGCTATATTGTTTTTATTTACATTATTTTACTGTATTGTTATTTTTTAAATGTTTTTTCTTAAATATTTTCAATCTGCAATAGACTGAGTCCACGGATGCAGAACCCATGACTAAAAAGGGCCAACTGTAATTTGATCTAGTAAACCTAATAGTCTCTTTCTTGATTACAAAGTACTTAGAGTCTTATAGTAGAGAAGCACCCTTTCAATAGGGCAAGAGACAGGAGCTCCCAAGTCCAGAAACCTTCCAGCCAAAATGTCTTTCTTCTAAACACTCCAATAGGTTAATACTGGATACCTGATCTTGATAAAGAAAGCAACTGGAAATAAGGGAGTTGGAGGGACTCACAAAGGGAAGCAGCAACCCCAGGGGGAAACATGTTGTCTTTCACTATTCCTAATCTTGTTGTGATATTTGTTTTTTCCAAGGAAACCATTTTACATCTTGCCAGGCTCCATAGAGCTTTTCCATCTCCCTCTAAAATTAAATTCACAAAGCAGCTGCTTTTGCACTGTGTAGCTACAAAGGTGTTAAAATGTTTCATACACAAAACTGGGTGAAGTCATGTTGACATGCCTCAAAGATGTGCGGTGGATGTAAACTCCAGGAAACCTCATCTTCTCTCAGTTCAGCCACTCACACTTTGATGCAATCATTCTCCATTTGTCAAGAATTCATGTCATTTTTAAGTTTCCGAAATTTCTTTGCCTTACAGAAATCTTTAATAACCTTATAGGAAACAACACTTTGCTAGTGACAGATCAACACAACTTGATACAGACGCCTTGGAATTTTCTCTTGAGAAAAAACAAAGATTAAGATGAGTGGAAAAAGGCATTCTGGGGAGTGGCCAGTTCTTTCTTCAGAATCCACACTAATTCATTTGCCTTCATGGCTCAGAGAAACGTAGACATTCAAAATTGAGTGACAAATCCTTATTCACTTGTTGGCTTTTCTTTCTGAAGAAAGAAGGAAAAATGTCTTCCACAGGAAGCTTTTTATTTTATTGTCTCACCTTCAACATTTTAATTTTATTTTAAATTAAATGGCAGGAGAGGCTAAAGAGAAACTTACATTTGACTTCCTGTACTTCTAATAACCTGAGCTACATATCAATTACTATATGACTTCCAAGTTGGAAACCTGTAAAAATGACATGTCTCAGGTGAAGAATGTCTATACACTGAGATAACTGTGAAGTGCAATATCCATCATTTTAGTTTTCTTAATTTTTTTTGTCAAGATATTTCCTTGCTTTTTCTTTCTGTTCTGCCTTTACGCTTATAAATTGATTTTTGAGTGAGGATATGTAAGTGGATAATTTTTCATGTTAAGTCTGAATTGTAAAACTTATTTTTCTTCAAGATGACTTTAGATTGTTTCTTCAGTTTTTATACTCTATTGACCTGAAGGCATGTATTTTCATAAAGTGTTTTGTTTCTTCATTAATATCCTGTTGAAATGTAGTCAAAGACATGAAATCAAATATAATTCATATAATAATTATAGAACAACATAAATATATTTATAATTTTTAATATTGAGTAGGTTTAAAATAATATTAATACACATTGCAAAAAGCACAGATAAAAATAAGAATAAATGGATACAATAAACACCTATTAACTACTTCACTTTTTGAAAATTCTTTCCTTCTATTAGTTCCTTTAATTTTCATAAGCAAGTTCAGACAGATATTATTCTGCTGAGTTTGCAGTTGAAAACAGATGCACAGAGGGCCAAGCTAACCTGCACAAAATGTTAAAAAGCCAGCCAGGTGAGTGATAGGAATATGACCCCTATTTCCTGAGGAAAGCATAGCATAGGGGTCCTGTGCCCAGACCGTGAAACCACAGTATGCCTGGGCAAATTCCTTATCTCCCCTGTTCCTCATCTGCAATAATTGATATCATAGCAGTTATAAGTGAAGATTAAGTCATTAAATAAATATAAAATGCTTTAGAAACGGGGCCTGGTAAATGATCACTATTCTTATGTCCAAATCCTAGTTTGACGATGTTTCTATCACTGTTTGTCAGTCTATCCCACTGCGTAATGTTACGGTCACTTTTCCCTCAGAGCAATTCAGGTGAAGCAATGAAAACAGTGAAAACCATTCATGTCTAATATAATCTTATAAGTACAAAATTTTACTACTGTTATATAACACTAACTTCAATATTCACTGGACTATTGCAATGTGAAAGGTCAATTTCAAATGGAAACAAATCAGTAATAGAAAAACCAGAGAATGCATGAATGCTAATATATAGATA